CGAGGTAAATTTTTGCGGCCGGAGCTGGTCGTCACCCGAAAAGTTCGTTAACAGAGGCGTTCGTAACCCGAGGTACCAATGTATTTCCCCATCAGTTTCCAAGTGCAGGTCACTCAATGTGACAGCCATCTCAGTAAAAACTAAGAGAAGCATTTCTCAATGCCATCTAGAGCTAGAGCACTTCTCCATTCATTCTCAAACAGTCTTTACCACACACTTGCAAATCATGTTTCCCATGGCGTGGCTGATGGGGGACTTCAATCTGAGAGAGGACTCTCTGCCTCCTCCCCCCACATAAGCTTACGGCAGAGCCAGAAGGTGGCTTTTTCAGTTGTTATCTCAACCCCTTAGCCCCCATACTTCCCCAGCAATCTTTATCCATTATAAGGGAAAGGGAGACAGGTAGAATGACTAAGGCACTCAATCACTGTCCATCCAACCTACCTCATGAGATTGTTGTAGAGGAAGATGGGAGGAAGGACTGTATATGGCACTGTGAGCTACTAAAAAAATCCTCTTGAAACCCAGAAAGTTTGAAAAGAATGTGTTGTTTTGGGTGGGACAGGGCAGGGCAGGGAGGAAAAACGTGAAGTTGTTCCACCAAGTCTGACTAAATCTGATTCCCTCTTCTAGGATCATCTCCTTTGGAACAAACTGGGAGCTACCTTGGCCAATGGAAACCGGAGTGAGGAAGCTGTAGCTGCTTACAGGCAGGCGCTGGAACTGCAGCCGGGCTATATACGCTCTCGCTACAACCTAGGCATTAGCTGTATCAATTTAGGGGCCCATAGGTGAGTTGGGTGGCTTTAAAACTGAGATTGTCTCTACTGCTGCTCTTGATTAGTTGAGCCCACTATAGTCTTGAGCTACTAGAATACTGTTTCTCAACCTTGGCAACTTTGAGATGAGTGGACTTCAATTCCCCAGCTGGCTGAGGAATTCTGGGAGTTGAAGTCCACTCGTCTTAAAGTTGCCAAGGTTGAGAAATACTGTACTAGAGAATCATGAGTGGTGGATCAGGCAACTCTGAAAGCATTTCCAAGAGAAATTGCCATCATAGTTGACTAATAGTGCCTTCAATCATTTCACCTCCTCTTTCAAAGAGTCATAGTCACTGGCTTTTGGTGTGTCTCATCTACAGGGGTGCTTCAAAGTTTGTGTATCCTTTTGAATTTTCAATCTTTGTGCATAAATGTGACTTACAACATGATCTGCTTTCCACACGAGTCCTAAAACTAGATAAAGAGAACCCAATTAAGCAAATGAGTCAAAAACATTATACTTGTTCATTTCTTTATTGAGGAAAATGATCCAAAGCTACATATTTGTGTGTGGCAAAGGTAGGTGAACCTTTGCTTTCAGTAACTGGTGTGCCCTCCTTGGGTAGCAATAACTGCAACTAAACATTGCCAATAACTGTTGATCAGTCTCGCACATCAGCTTGGAGGAATTTTAGCCTGTTCCTCCTTACAGAACAGCTTCAACTCAGGGATGTTGGTGGGCTTCCTCACATGAACTGCCTGCCTCAGGTCCTTCCACAGCATTTCGATAGGATTAAGGACTTGGCAATTCTAAAACATTAACTTTCTTCTGCTTTAATCACTTGTGTGCTTTGGGTCATAATCTGAAAGGAATGACATTTCCCTGTGAACCAGCTAGGCTCTGCTGGCTACAGGTGACCTCTTACTTTGGCTTTATGTCAGTAGGCTTAAAGGGGAGTACAGTCAGTGTAGTAACATGTATTTTAAATACATTGTCCCCCTACTCAGCTGTGCAGCTTCATGGGCAAAGGTGTGTTGGAAACGAAAGCCATAGAACTGGTCCTTCTCCCTGTGCCTAACATTTGGGGCAGGTCTTGTCTGTGAGCTCTTCTTGGTCAGTCTCCCTTCATTGCCATATGCTGCTGTCTTGACAGAGAGGCTGTAGAACACTTTTTGGAAGCCTTGCAGATGCAGCAGAAGAGTCGGGGGCCACGGGGCCAGCAGGGAGCCATGTCTGACAACATCTGGAGCACCCTCCGTATGGCCCTCTCCATGCTGGGCCAGAGCAACCTCTATGAAGCAGCAGATGCCCGGGACCTTCCTACCCTTCTACAGGCTTTTGCTATTCAGCAGTGACTCTCTGATGGGCTCCCCTGCGAATGCAGGAGGGGCCCTCATCAATGCCAGTCCCTTCTTTCTCTTCCCACCCAGGCACACATGGCTGAGTCAGGGATACTTCTCTTTTAAGTCTCAAGTTGTCCCAGAAAACAATATATACATCTATTTTCAGACTCTTTTTTAGGGCAGGTCACTAGTTTACATGTTGTGCTGGATCATATTTCTGTAAAATTAAGTTTCTGCAACCTATGCAAATCCAGCAAGGAATGGTATCTGCCGTGTGCCTCTCCCAGCCTGCAAGATTTAGTCTCTGCCTGGGGAAAACAGTCCTTTGAGCAGGAAAGCGTTTAGATTTTCCTGCAGTGGTGTCCTCTAGGCACAAATTTAAAGGAGTGGGCTTTTTTTTCCTATAGGCCAGTCTCTGTGATGCAAGGAAAGGAGTTCTGGCCTTGCCTGCTAAATCAGAGTGAATGCTGGTATTCTTTGCACATCATGTTAAGATGAATTCTGTTGAAAAATCCTTTTGCAAAAGGATGAATCAAAATATGAATTTTGGCTCTGGGCTTGGAAAGTGCTGCTAATGTTAAAGGGACAACAGAAAGGGAATGAACATGAAGTAGCAGCGTGGCTGATATCACCACCCCAGAGACTGGGGGAAGGAGCAGCTGTGTACTGATTAAAATAAGAAAGTACCTGGGAAGGGGCAGAAGTGGCAGTTATCAGAAACGCGAAGTGTGGGGCAGAAACTTTCTCTTAACTACCCCTCTGCCATTTTGGTTTTCATAACTCAATAAAGTGGGTGGGTTGTCTCTATGCATCAGGCTTTTCCCCCTTTGGTGTAATTGGCTCTTTAAATATAAATATATGTATATGATTTTTGTTGGGAAAATGTTTTTAAATTGTAAAGTATTTTGTATAATAGAAGGTGAAAGAATAAAACCCGCCAAATTAAGTTGTCTGGTTTTTGTTTTGGGCATTGCTTGCCAAGAAGCATGAGCACCACCACGGCCACCTTGCATATATTTGAAAATCTTCCTTTCCTTTATGTTCCGATTCATGTTTTTTGCACAACTTATAGCTAGGTTTCTGAGGCCTTTTACTCATTTCTGATATAATTGGCCTTCTCAGTCATTCTTAGGTTTAGGCGAGTTTTATTAAAACTCATTTGCAGATGGTGAAAGCAGCGAGTTGCTAAAATTACAGGCCCAAGGCCATCTAGGAGAGATGGAAGTGTATTCATTCAGAACTCTTTCTATATTTTATTGCCTTATAAAACCTGTTCAGTTCTTACAGAACTTTTATCATGCATTTTATTGTATTAAGGTCTTCTTGAAAAAGGGAACAAAGCTCAAGAAACAGCGTTTAAAGAAATAATTCTAGTGGATGTTTCCAGGCAAAAAATGTGGGCCTCAAGCTGTTCAGCTTATCTTTCATCTTGGCCTGTTAATTCCTTTCCTTCAGCTGTGATTTATGGCTTTGTGTGATGGGTAAACTGAGCCAGTATCTAAAATACATCATTCAGCTTCCTGTGTGTTTTTATTGACTCTGGGTAGGGACCAGCATGAGGGGGAAGTGGAATCTTATCCTTCCCTTTGTGACCTTCCCACCATGATTTTAATACTAGTAGAGATACAGAGCTGCACAATGCTTATTTTGTTATTAGTTCAGGTGATGCACGTAGACTGCTCCAAACATTAACAATTACCAAATATATATAGGGAGGTCTTATTTCAAACTTTGACCATTATCAGTAGATTTGCTTTTCCTAAACACCCTCAATTTTAAGGGGTTTCCCCTTCCATTAAATGATTTGTACTTAACAATGGCTGCAGTTTCCGGTTTCTGCGATAGGTTTTAGCCACATTTCTAATGGATAACTCTGAATGACTTAGTTTTGAAAGATTTTTTTAGACAAGGACAGCTACAAAAAAGAGTCTTAAAATGCTGGGACGGGTCCTCTTTTATTTCAGCTCCCCAAAAGACACACATCATCAGCTTACCTTACTTACATCTGCAAAATTCAGGAGGCAACTGTGCTCTTGTTGGCTTGAGGACGTGCTCAGCCATATGATATAAATATTACAAGCAATTCAAATATTAACTGTAACATACAAGAATAGACTTGACATCCCTCAAAACAACCAGGAGTGACACTTTTTGTGGTGTATTACATAGCAGACCTAGTGGTTCAGGTCAAATGCTGGTTCCAGAAGCTTGCAGCTGCTTATGCTACTGACCTCTTTTTTACTTTAAACAAAGCTCATTTCAAATGGCCAGAGAGAGAGAAGGGCCAAGGGAATGACTTGTAAAGGCCCCAGAGCCATTGTGTCAAAATCAAGATGGTGGCAGCTAATGCTGCTATTCTGACATCTTTGGAGCTCTGGGCACTGCACATCAGTTACTGCTTTCCCTCTCTTAAGTGTGTGTGTGTGGGTGTGGGGTGTGTGTGTGTTTGTGCATGTGCAGGGTGGTGGTGGTTGTCCAAACCCACAGTGATGCTTGGAGGCTTTTTGTTCAATCCCCCCTTCCCCAAAATCTGGTATTGTCTTTGAAAATTAGAATAAATATTGGACTTTTGGCTGCATGAAATCTTGATTATTTCTTAAATTTCTTTCCAACATCAGAGTACTTTGAAAGATCCAATTTAACTTCTATTGTCTATGCGCAATGCTTTCAAAGCAGGCCTTTTTAGTTTTATTTTAGAGAACAGATGAAGTAACATACAGTAATATTTCTTTCCAACATCAGAGTACTTTGAAAGATCCAATTTAACTTCTATTGTCTATGCGCAATGCTTTCAAAGCAGGCCTTTTTAGTTTTATTTTAGAGAACAGATGAAGTAACATACAGTAATGAACACTGGGAGAGAAGGGAATCATTCCTTTTCGTATGACATTAGAGGTCAGGATGACTCAAAGAAATGGGTGGCGATGCATTCATGGCAAATCCATACAAGTTTTAACTTGACATTTGAATACATGTTAAAATGTATGGACATACATGATGGCCATCTGCACTGATGGCTTTAAAAGGGGAGCAGACAAATGCATCAAGACATTTCTAACAGCCATTACATGGGATTGTCCTTCTAGAGCAGTGTTTCTCAACCTTGGCAACTTTAAGATGTGTGGACTTCAACTCCCAAAATTCCCTAGCCAACCCGGGTGGGTAGGGGATTTTTGGGGGTGGAGGTCAAACAACTTTAAGTTTGCAAGGTTGGAGAAAACTGCTTTAAAA